AACAAACTCCTGGCCCCCCCCCCCCCCCTGGAAAATTGCCTTGCGCAATGTGGTATTGAAGCCCTTTGAAGTTTGCTGTGACTTACCGTTCGACTTGTTTGGCTGGCACCGCACCAGTCTGGACAAGATGTTACGCTTCTTACACCATCGTACGTTCTCTCCGAGACCATTATATGCCCTTATCCCCTTTTACTAACTTGGAATGTGCCATCAGCCTTTGAAGTGGTTTCGAAGAAACTCGGAGCATCGCCAGACGAACGTGAGCCAGTTCCCTACCACCTCCGCCACGCCCGACTCTTTTTTCCTGACCTCACCTCGAACTAGTTAAGCTCATTTTTTCCTTTATACTGTCGTATCCTCTGGCAGGACTCCTTAAGCGTGTGCCTGATGCAAAGCCGTATCGCAAGAACCTGTTCATAATAGGGTAAACTCTCCTTGGTCGCTCTTTGCGTCCTCCGTTCTCCAACCTCGGTCGATCTGCTAACCAATCTTCTTGCTTGCCAGGACGTCCATTTTTTATCTGATAGGCCTATTTGATCTTTGGGACGGCCTCTCAACACTAGCTTTCAGCGCAGGCGGTGTGTACCTGATTGCCAAATACATGAAGAACAGCCACTACATGCCATGGGTTGGCTTCATGTTCGTCATGGGCCACATGTCAATCAGCCATATCCGACGCCAAGCCGCGAACAGCCCTTCTACAGTCGACATCACCGGCGCGCAAATGGTTTTGGTGATGAAGCTGAGCGCCTTCTGCTGGAATGTTGCCGATGGCCAGCTACCCGACGAAATCTTATCAGATTTTCAGAAAGATCGAGCGCTGTGTGAGCTCCCCAGCATCTTGGATTATGCAGGATATACTTTATTCTTCCCTTCCCTATTTGCTGGGCCGGCTTTTGATTATGTTGATTATCGACGATGGATCGATACCTCGATGTTTGATATGCCGCCCAATGTCGATCCGTCGAAGAAACCTCCTTCTAGGAAGAAAAGAAAAATTCCGCGCAGCGGCACTCCGGCCACCTCCAAGGCCTTTCTCGGACTCTTCTGGATTAGCCTGTTCGTCGTTTTGTCTGCGAGGTATGGTCATGAGCAGCTGCTTGTGGACACATACATGCACCATGACCTATGGCGCCGAATTTGGATCATGTACATGGTCAACTTGGTAGCTAGACTGAAATATTATGGAGTTTGGACGTTAACGGAAGGATCCTGTATCCTTGCTGGGTTAGGATATAACGGAGTCGACCCCATCACAGGGAAGGTTTTTTGGAATCGCCTGCAGAACGTTGATCCTTGGACGGTCGAGACTGCACAAAATCCTCGCGGCTATTTAGCTGGATGGAATAAGAATACAAACAGCTGGCTCCGGAATTACGTATATCTTAGAGTCACGCCAAGGGGGAAGAAGCCAGGATTTCGGGCTAGCATGATGACATTTGTGACCAGCGCCTTCTGGCATGGTTTCTATCCCGGTTACTACTTAACATTTGTCCTTGCTAGTCTCATTCAAACAGCTGCCAAGAGTAAGTGATCACGCGATCCACACTACGTAGCCTCTGTGTGAGATTGAAGGCCTCTAATACCCGCATGGAAATCATCAACTTGGTACTGAAGTGTGTGACAGATTTCCGACGCCTAGTTCGCCCCTTCTTCCTCGATGCCATCACTGGTGGACCGTCCCCGAAAAAGAAGTACTACGATGCCGCCAGCTTCATTGTAACTCAGCTCACCTTTTCATTTGCCACGACGCCGTTCCTCGTCCTCACCTTTGCGGATTCCATCCGCGCGTGGTCTCGTGTTTACTTCTACGGCGCTGCTTGGACTGTGATAGGTCTTGTATTTTTTGCCTCGCCAGGCGGGGCGGTATTGAAAGCAGAGTTAGAGAAGCGCCAGGGTAAGGCAAGTGTGAAGCTAGTTCGGTCAGCCAGTACCGATAGTCTTACTGGCAAAGACCCCATTCTGGGAATATCGAAAGATCCCGAGCGTGACGTGACAGAGGCCATGGCGGAAATCAGGGCTGAGGTGGAAGCACGACAGAAGAAAACACCATAGTGTTTTGCATGAATGTCCATATAACAAACTAGAATTTGCTCTGCAACGAGCGCTTTTCCTTACTATACATTTTGCTTGGTGTACACCAAAATCATTACATGAATTAGCGTCAGCGTCTCCGGCGTATATATTGTTCGTCTCCTATCTTGTATGCAGATCGCTTTAATCCAAAGAATTTTAAATCCGGGTCGTCAGTTAGGTGTCGCGTTCAAATCATGTCATATCTTAGACATGTATCCTTATCGTTCAAAGCTCAAATCGTAATACATGAATGTCTTGCGCCAAAAAAAAATAAGAGATCTAGGGGCGGGGGGTAGGTAGGTACTGAAATCAAAACAGTGATAGACAGAGCAAGATATTAATTAACATAGAGAAAATATGTGCATTTCGACAAGGGAAAGGCTGGAAAGGTTCCGTTGCCAAGATTGCCGTATATGGGCCCTAGTCGACAATTTTGTGGCAAAGGAAGTGATGTGTGACGAGAGATGAGAAAACTATGCCAGGGGTCCAGGAAGAATTTTGAAGAAGCTGGGGAATGTGAAAGCAAGAAATAGAAGAACCATGTTCATTGGTAACGAGGGGCGCATGTGTAGTAAGGGAAAGCCAACGGAAAGCCCGCCACTAGAGCTTCCGCTGTTGTGTACTGGTAACGATGAGAGCAACAGCGGCTCCAACCAAGAGTAGGCCGATGAAGGACATATATCGATTGAGGCTTCTCCACCATTTAACTTTATTGTAGCAGTTATTACTGTCCTGCCCCAGTTTAGAACCGCTTCTTCCTTGCTCTAGGTCTAAATGGCCTGTGCTATGATTCTTCTCCTTCATATCTGCCTCGGCTGTTGGTGGCAGGGGAAGAAATGACGCGATCATCCAAGCTAGAATCGAGTTTAGCTGTAGAAACAATTATGTTAAAGATGAGCTCATTCTTACCGAAAGGGAAAACAAAACCCGAAACGAACATTATTGCCTGGATGTTGCTCCGTCGAGAGGTATGTTCTTCTTTAATCCAGACCGAAGACGGTGGTCGCCAGAGGTTGTATCTTCGGGACCTTCTGTCTCGCCTTAGGTGTGGTGACCATATGCTAGATGTCTGCTTCTTAATGCGGCACACCATGTTGAGCGGAGGACATGCTACTGGTCCATTTGACTGTGATGCTGGCGGAGCTTCGCATGGCGCTGGAGGTGGTTGACGCTGACGAGGAAGCTGAGTAGCTAGAGTGAAGCGTTTTGTGCTCGGGGAGCGGTTGATCAATGGGCTGCTATGGACACCTGCGCTGAACTCCGAAAACAGAGAATCAGAGGAGTGTTGGATAGTCAGGAAACGACGTTCACCGCTACCATAATATAGCCTAGCACACATTAGCTGATCGATGATGGTCAAATCCAAGAGCAGAATCCTAGCTTCTGCCATGCCGGCTTACCTGGCCCAAGCGGGAATGTGACAACGACTGAAGCTATTACTTCGAGAACTACCAGATGAACGAAGATTCCGATCGGAGGGGAAACTCGATAGATAGCTATGAAGCTTTGTTCGAGATGGGCGTCGCTGAAGCTCTTCGAGCTCAGCGAGTCCGTCTCCGTGCTCGTCTTGGTCTCGAATTAGTCGCAAGCTGCTGTTATTGACATCCCGATTCCAAACCCTGTAACTAGCAGGAGGCGGAAGTTCCATCCATGCTTCAACGTTCGGTTGACCATCATGGCGTGGTAGGTCTGGTGTACCTACGTCGAAGGATTGGCTCTGGAGACGGTGGTCTCCAACCGTGGTGTGAGTAAAAGCCAACGAAGGCACGGAACTCCCCCTGTCACTCTCGGATAGTATGGGAGATAGAGTGGTACTCCAATGATTGTGATGCGATAAGTTCTGATGGCGATTCCCAGGTCCGATGGTGGTATTCCGTTGAAGCGAGGTGTGACGGAAACCACCGCTGTGCGATGTAATCACAGAGCTGCCAGCGAACAATGACCGGGCAGCTTCTTCAACGAAAGCACTCGAGATCGAGGTGAGAGATCCCGTCCGAATAGAGTCTCTAGACTTCTGACGAGACACTGTAGCTTGATCAGAGAAGAACCGCTTGCTGGGCCTCAGCGGTGCCACGACTAGACTTTCCCTTGAATACTCTGTCTTCAACACAGACCTGGAAGCCACCGCGGCAGGAGGTGATGACGAGAAGTCTCCATGTAATACGTAGTTTCTGTTGCTGTCATTGGTATCCGAGTTGGAATGATTCTCCAAAGATTGTTCAGAACAAGTTTCACCAATGATCTCAAAATTAGAATGGCTTGACGAGAGCACAGAACAATTCGCATTCGAGTCGTCGGCTGCTTCAGGATGCCAATCTGGGCCATGATAAGGCGACTCACTGACAAATGTCTTGTAGTTAGACCTCTCAGATAACGTGGAGGCTGATTCAGAAGGAAAGGATTGTTTCGAAGACAACATCCCCGACTGAGTATAACCACTGGCTGATGGGCGTGATCCTACAAAGGCTGCCTGCAGATCCCGCTCTACTGGGAGGGAAGGAATGGACAAAGCCTTGGCCTTGCCGCCTCCATCACTATCTGGGACCTTCCGCACACCGCCAAGCAGCGTATAGTTACAGGGTGAGGAGGCAGCGGTAAGGCTGGCAGGAAATGGCGACGAGCAGAACGAGGATGGCGGCCGAGAAAGTTCTTGGGGCGGAGTGAGAGGAGAGCTTGGCTGATCGTCAACAAAAGTTCCAGAAATAGTCCTATCTGCCGAGGAGCTTGGGGCTGTCGACGACTGGCGTGGAGATCGCAGCCCATCGGTCGCAGAGGCAGAACAGGATTGTGGTAGAAGAGAGAAAGTCTTGTCGGAATTGACTGCAATAGTCCTTCTGGAAGGGGGATAAGAAGGCGAAGGTGAGGCAGGGATCGTCGTTGGAGACACAGCACCCCAGTTTTCAACTTTTTTGACGTGATCGACCGAGTCAGCGGTTTCGTTTGTGAGGTCCATGAGAGGGTCAGGACCAGTTGAGTCCTGAAGTTGGGATTTAACCTGTGATAGGCACAGACTACCGCCAATATCATCCTTCGGTTGATTTTCCCTGTCTTGGCAGAAAGCCAAAGGAGGCTGCTTAGGCGAAACTTCAACATATGACGCTGGACGAGAGGGTGTTGAGCCATCCAAACTGATTCGTGGTGGACTATAAGGCACAACACGGATCTGCAATCGGGAAGGGTCGACAACAGACTGCCGATTCCTAAGCCTCCCGTCCGGTAGTGTAGGTCGTAGCCTCGCCATGCTAAGTACCAGAGGCTATTTTCCGAAGGCAATCCGATCCCATACCTACAATTGCAGAAACTGAGTTCAAGAGAGGCAGAGACGTCCTGAGAATTCAAAAGAAAAACGACAATCCGAGCAAAGCTGAAACCATGCGACTGAAAGATGCTTTCACACAGACTCGATAGTCTTGAATCACTCGCTATTGGCAATCGGTGGAGATCACGTTAACTGGATCTCAAAGTTCGAGTTCAAGGTCTGATTCAAGCGCGGTTTAGCTCGATATTAGGTCAAATAGGTATAGGTCTTAAATCCTAAACGGAGTTTGATGTCCACACCTATGGCAAAAGGCTGTGTGGTATTAGAGCCGAGGAATTTTGAGTCGCGGGGACTATTAGACAGTGGTCGTAAAGGTGATTAGACGAGGCCCAGTCGAAGAAAATGCGGCCTGGTTGGTGAATCGCTAAAGCATCTGGGAGTACAGAGCTTTACGAAAGCATAATTATTAGCAGGAAAGAAGCAAATTAGTATGAAATGAGAACCGGTGCAAATGAATGTATGAAACGAAAGACGTTCAGTAGAGGGAAGACAGCGAAGGAAGGAGCGTTAGACCAAGACGTTACGAAACTGAGATAAAGAAGAACGGAAAGAACGAAGGAAGAGGTCAGCGCGAGATTAGATCGGTTGAGTGGACAGTCAGTCATGGCAGGACTCGGCAATGCAATAGCACAGAAAGGTCGAGACGTCAACTGGTCCTGGCCAATTGGTCGCAATTAGGACAATGCAATACCATCTTCCCCCATCAGCGTGCAGATAAACAGACCAATACTTCCGTATTGTCGGATCGCGTCTTAGCGCCAACATGCTACAGCTCACATTTCGTACCTGACGGCTCTGGGGGCCGAGACACCCTTGTCCTGGGTTCTGAGGTCGTGAACTACCGGTCAATTTTTTCCCTCCTCAGCAAATGCTGACCGCCACGAGCGAGAAACATGCCAGACTAACAAGCCATGGCGGGTCTGCAGCTTTGTCGAGCCATTTGCGGATGACTGAAGTGCATAACAAGTGGGTGTAGTTTAATGACCTCATGCAAGAAGCCCCGTCCTGCAGAGCCGCCAGGAGACAAGTTGCATGGGGAGATTGCCTTACGACGCGTAAATCCCAGGCACAACCCGATCAATTAGTATGAACTATTTTAGTTTATCATGCTATTATAATACGGAGCAGCAGTTAGTCCTCACGGCGCTGGGTGGCTGGGCTGTTAAGCTGGTTCCAATGTCCAAGGCCATTTGCGGGCACATCTCGCCACATCACATCTTTTGTACATACAAGAGGCGGCATGCCGCAGCCTGGCTGTCAAAATTGAAGAGCCCAGGGGCCAGATGCTCCGTAAACGTCATTGCCAATCAGTGTACCCAAGAAGGTATCATTAATCACAAGATCAAGCATATAGAATAGGTTGCATTTACCACGTACGTAGGCACCATCTGGGGAGGCAAAAGAAGAAAAAGAAGGAAATCCTGGCCATGCGCTTTGTGTCTGATTCGAGACTGGGGCACTTACTCAACCTGAGAGGTGCATATGCAGACCCTCTTGCAAGGCACTATAAGTACCTACCTAGGTACTTAAGTAGGTTGTGGGTATCACCGCAGTAAGACCAAGCTAACGGCGTGTGGTCGCTCGCGTCTACGTTCTCTCAAGCCATTCACTTCATCAAGAGGCCACGCGGGTTGCAAAAAAGGCCGCACACCCCGCACCCACAACCACACACACAGGTGTGCGGCCTTTTTTGCAGCCCGCGTGGAGGCACACGCTAGAGGGTCTGTCTCACGCGTATCGTAGCCCAAGGATCACAACCGTGCGAAACGAATCAGAGAGCCAATCGATTGACCTCCAGTACTCAGTACTCCGTACTCCGAACTTCAGACAAGCCCCATTGTTCTCCCTGCCGCGGTTGAAAATCGCCCAATGCGGTACACACAGAGGCCGAGACAAGTCACGTATCCATTGTTTGAGCTTCTAGATCCTGTCTTCCAACGCTTGCAAGCAAATACATAACCTCAAAAGAGGCCCCTGCTCGACTCCCGATTCCTAGCACGGTTTGAGCGCCGTATAGTTACCTACTACCTACCTAGGTAGGTACCTAGTAGATAGGTACGCTGGTTTGAGCACGCGCCAGGTCCAACCAGGCTGCAATAGCAGGACTGCGTTTAAAGTTTTAAGCTTATAAGAGTATATAAGAACCCACTTTTTTAATATTAGCTTATAATTTCACATTAATACTAGTTATTCGTAAAACTTATAATTCTATAAGTATTTTATTAGATTTAATATTATTTATTATATTAAAAACTACAAAAACTACAAAACTACACTACAGTCAATGCTCTGAAGTCTGCGAAGTACAGAAGTGGACGGGGCTAGCCCACTTAGTTGCCAACGGGTAGTACCTAGTTGCTCCCCCTATTCTTATTGTCGGCCTCGTACGGAGTACTATCCCCTAAAAGCAGCGAAGACTACAATTATGTAGCTGCGGGGATAAGCAACCAATTAAAAGCTTACTTTTACATGGTACCTTAATCCCTTAATATTTTATATGATAATATGAGTCCCCATAAAATTCTAGGTTATAAAACGCTACATCATAAACGCCATATCTCAACTACCTAGGTATTATTAATGTCACTTGACGTTACTAGCTGCTACCCGGGGCCCTGTGGATATTGTGACCTAGTTGTAGTCTTCGCTGCTTTTAGGGGATAAACGCCTAGTCTAAACTACTAATAGGTACCTAGGTACCTAGGAGACAATCAAGTGCAGTGTGCTGTTATATGTTATAGACTTATAGTACACAATTTGAACCAGATTGACATTGTCAACCCAGTTGACCGGCCTAGCCTAATAGTTCGACAGAATCCAGAGACCCACCAATACCTACGAAGTACTTCCTCCCTCACCTTCGTAGTTAGGTTTACACGCTCTGTGCTGCTACCTACCCTAGGTACCTAGGTACCTAGGTATCAACTATAGCGCGCTAAGGGGTTTTCTAGTAACTGTTCTCTAGCTATTATTTATTATAAGACAGCTAAATAAAAATTTTTACTTAATACATAAGACTTTTATTAATTAGTAATAATTTAAGACCTGTCTTGTAATAGTTATGCTATTGCCAGAAACAGGGGCCGCGCGCGTAGGTAGGTAGGTAAGTACGGAGGAGACCAGTGCTGAATCCCAAGCCATAACTTCAGACCAACATTTTCGATATTCTCTCGATTGCACACTCCAATCAGATGCCCATTAGACGCGCACAACCATAGGCATTCCTAAGCCCGGCTTTCAATTAGCTGCTTACATCTGAAACAGTCACGCCTGGTGCAACAAAGCACACCGAGGCCTCTATTCGAGCCCGGCTCAACAATGAGTTCCTGGCCAAGTCCCGCATCGAGTCAACCTGGCCTGAGTCAGCTACAGGCCTTCAGTCTTTTGGTAAGTTTTTCCAATTGCATGTATTACACCAGAGAAGCCTAGAAGGCGTTCTCATTGTCCCTTGCCGCTTGAAAACCAAAGCCTGTCGTACATTGGAAAGCTGACGGCGAGCCTTTTGGTGCCAATTTCAAGATTGTATACTGTCTCGTCTATGTGCTCCCTCTACATGTATCGGCGTCGACAAGGGCCGCGGCTGGTAGGTCCAGGGACGCACCGGAAGCAATACGTGCCAGGATTCGCTCAGTGTCGTTTTCAACTACCTTGTGCTCGCTCGCAACATTCGTCCTTCTCGGTGGGACTACCGCTGCTGACCAAGGTTCACCGTGGCATATCATGGGATACTGGCCACTGGGGATCATTGACGCATTCAGATCCTTACTCCTAACAACTTTGTTATTTGCTGGGCCCCTGTATGAATGTCTGCTCATTGATGGCGTATGGCAGTCATGGTTGCGATTAGAACCCTTGGGGCAGCTTTGGGGAGACTGGGCTATGTGGAGGAATATGGTAGCCGTATGAGCTCTTCGTCCTTCAGCGTCTGCACCTGGCCCATGGCGGAAACTTACACAATTATGCAGGGTCCTATTACTGAGGAATGCCTTTTCCGCTCCGCAGCTGTGCCGTTACTCTTGGTGGCTGGTTGTAGCATCAAACGCATCATATTCTTTTCGCCCCTTGCTTTTGGGCTTGCACACCTCCACCACTTCTATGAGTTCCGCGTCACGCATCCCGAAACGCCTCTTGTAGCTGCAATCGCCCGCTCTATTCTTCAGCTGTCCTATACCAGTGTGTTTGGGGCCTATGCTACATTTATCTTCCTGCGTACCGGATCGCTGCTATCTGTTATCGCCGTTCATACGCTATGTAACTCAATAGGCCTTCCTCGTGTTTGGGGTGTTTTAGAGCCATATTGGCTCTCGGATAATGAGCTCTCCCAACCCAGCAATGTGTTGAAGTGGACTGTCCCGTACTACGTGTTGCTTCTGGGAGGCTCCATTTTGTGGTGGCAAAATATATCCTCATTGACGACTTCGCCAATGGCTCTCGCCGAGTTTTAGACACAATGTACAAAGCCTTGCCGGGATCCGGTGGCAAAACCTAGCCGACGAAACCATGCTACATATTTAGGCAACTGCGTTTTTGTACTAAAGCCTTGGAAGCTGGTATGCGACGCACGCGGTGACCCATGATGACAGTAGATGGTGTCCCTCAGGGGGTTAGGGGGTTCTCTGACGATACAAATTTGCTTTAACATCTTTCAACATCAACAGCCGGGCAATAATCTGAACCCTCTTTACTTAAGTACAGAAAATGCTAAAGGCTGGGGAGTGAACCCGGTATATCAGCAATGTTGGTATCTTGAACAGGGTTGCGATACCTCAGCGATGTCATGTCCCATTTTCGACCCTCAGTGGATGTCTCTTTTCGCCATGAAATGTCATCTCGAACATCACGACCAATATCTTTCCCTTTAGACCGACCAATAGATAAGCCTCCATCCACAATTGTATCATCAGGTCCTCGGGTGTTCTTTTTCCTCGGCCACAAGCTTGGGAGAGCTATCTCTTGGAAGCGGGGTTCCACCGCACGCTCGTCAAACCACCTGTGCAGCCGAGCTTCGACTAGCTGGGCAATCTTGGGTACATCTTGTAATCTGGATCTGCTCCCAAGCAAGCTGCGGATAGAAAAATCCAATCGGTAATCATCTAGAAAACTAAAAGTCATCATTGTCGGTGTCGATTGTGACGGATTGCTAGGAATAAAGGAAATGGATAGAGTCCCGCTAAACCGGACAACAGAGACGGCCAGCGCAACAGGGAGGACAGCAGATAGCTTCTTCGGGTAGTTGAGGAGCAGTTTTGTTTCGACAGCAAGAGTAAGCATGTCACTCAAGTCAACATCCATCCGAGCTTGCAGTCTTGTTCCATCCCGTGCAGCAGCCGTGGCATCAAATTTGATACCATTCCCGAGAGTAAGGCCGTCTTCATCCACGGGGATAATGCGACAGTTACTGAAAATGGGGAAGTCCTCTCCTAAACTCAGTTCCGTAACACGAATGTCATCGATAAAGTCAGGCCGAGATGCTCCGTTCAGCGCCTTGGTTAGGGAATTGAGAATGGCGTCATCATGTTGTGCGTCGCTTCGAAATTGAGCGATTGTCTGAGCAACAAGGACATTAAACCAATCGAGGCTTTCCGGTTGGTGGCTGTCGACGTTGTAGTAAGTTTTGCTCAAAATGGATCCAATGGTGAGCGCTGGTGGGTTCCGTAGCACGCTGGACTTCTTGCGCTTCAAATGCTGGCTCTGCCTTTGACTCGGACTGCGTAAACTGAGAAGGGATTGCTTGTGAGCGAGTGTTCTGGATCTCCGTTCCGAGGCACGTAGTGATGCCGTTACATCTGATGACGGTGGATCGCCAAAGATGAAGAATTTAATAAATGCAGCCAGTATCAGTACTACGGACAGTTGCCCTACGACGAGCCCCTGTGTGAATGAGAGCCTGCCATGAAGATATGAGTTGATACCAATGAAGACCGTTGCAGAACAAGGTTCTTTGTACTTACGTCGGTTCTGACCTCGATGGGCATTCCTCTAGAGCCATTATCTGGAAGACACGGATGCGCGGCTACTAGCAGGGTTTTGGCTGTGGGCGAATAAAGAATGCAGCTTCGTTCTTATGGCGATACTGGACAACTGCCTTGCTGGCTTTTGAAAGTTCGCCCAAAATCCAAAATCTAATTAAGCCCGTGGAGTTCCTAGCGGCGACTGGAACAGAACATGGTGAAGGAACAATATGTGCATAGCGGGTTACGGTATGCACGTACCCGAGTCGCCCACCAAAGCTACGGAAGCACATAGTCCCTTTCTGGGAGGTGCCACACATGTGTCGCTAACCCACGTCCCAAGGTACCATTCACGGACTCGAGCAACGTAAGCTTCGCATTCAACGCGCCAGCCACTTTCCTATCAAAATCCACCGCTTTGTCAGGAGGTCATTCGCGCTGGCTTGGTCTTGGACTTGGTCTCCAAGATTTGCAGCACCAGCATCTCCTCTACCAAAGTCGAACCTACCTCGGCAGCAATCTAAAAAGTATTGTGACATAAAGAGACGCTGGTCAAGGCCGAGGTGGCCTCACTTTCTCGCCGAAAATGGACGTCTCCCAGGCTATATCTGGCTACATTTCAAAGATCGTCATGTCTTCTGGAGATACTTCTTCAACCAAAATGAAAATATTGCTTTTGGATGGGGAAACCGTATCCATTGTTTCGACGGCCGTTACGCAATCATCATTACTGAATCACGAAGTATATCTCATTGATCGCCTGGACAATACCGGCCGCGAAAAAATGCGTCATCTTCGATGCCTGTGCCTCCTCCGCCCATCGTCTGAGAGTATCCAACTTCTGATAGATGAGCTGCGCGATCCTAAATATGGCGAATATTATCTGTATTTCACGAACGTAGTGAAAAAGTCGTCCCTGGAGCGACTTGCGGAGGCAGATGACCATGAGGTGGTGAAAGCCGTTCAGGAACACTTCGCCGACTATACGGTTATCAACTCTGATTTGTTCTCACTCTCGATATCTCTCCCACAGTGGCGAATATGGGGCCCAAATCCCGATGCTTGGAATGCGGATTCTCTTCGAAGATGTTCCGAAGGCTTGCTTGCGGTTTTATTGTCGCTGAAGAAAAAGCCACTCATCAGATATGGGAAAAGCAGCCCGCTGGCTAAAAAACTGGCATCAGAGGTGCGCTATCTCATGTCCCAGGAAGAACAGCTTTTCGAGTTCCGCAAAGTTGATACGCCTCCGATTCTTCTGATTCTCGACAGGCGAGAGGACCCCGTGACACCATTACTTACTCAGTGGACATATCAAGCCATGGTTCACCACCTTTTGGGGATTCACAACGGCCGAGTCGACCTCAGCAATGTCCCAGAAATACGGCCGGAGCTGAGGGAAATTGTCTTATCTCAAGACCAAGACCCCTTCTTCAAGAAAAATATGTTCTTAAATTTTGGCGATCTCGGTTCGACGATAAAGGACTATGTTGAGCAGTATCAGTCCAAGACGAAGAACAATGCCAATATCGAGTCGATAGCTGACATGAAGCGGTTTATTGAGGAATATCCCGAGTTTCGAAAGCTCTCGGGAAATGTCAGCAAGCATGTCAACCTAATGTCGGAGCTAAGTCGACGAGTATCGGCTCAAAAATTATTGGAGGTGAGCGAGGTTGAGCAAAGCCTTGCGTGCAATGACAATCATAATACCGATCTAAAGGTCAGGACCGATTTCCAAATCACTGTGCCAGACTACTAAATGCATTGCCAGAATATCCAAAACCTAATTCAAACCCCCGACATCACGGCAAATGCCAAAGTTGGGCTGGTAGCACTATATGCTCTGCGCTATCACAAACAGCAATCAAATGCCATTCCCATGCTAGTAGATCTTCTAGTTGCAGCCGGCGGTGTCTCACCGGCACAGTCGAGCCTAGTTAACAAGATCCTCGCTTACCACCTATCTCTCCACACATCTCCATCCCAAGGGGGAATTTCCGACATGTTTGACTCTGCGGGCATCTTCTCTGGTGCTTCAAGCAGATTTAAGCTAAAGGGTGTGGAAAACGTGTATACGCAACATACAACTCTTTTGGAAAGCACACTGCAGAACCTCATCAAGGGTCGCTTGAGGGAACAACAATACCCCTTCGTGGAAGGCGGAGGGTCATCACGAGATAAGCCACAGGATGTAATTGTCTTTATCGTGGGCGGCGCAACATATGAGGAGGCTAAGATGATAACCGGTATAAATGCAACAACGCCAGGGGTGCGAGTGGTTCTGGGTGGCACTTCTATCCTCAATGCGGCTACCTTCTTTAACGAAGTCGAGGATGCCGTGAGCTCCTGGCCAGAAGTCACTGGCCGCAGATGACGTGATGCGGCCCCTCATATCAAAGTGTTGCTTTGTTAATTAGATAGCAAGCGTATTCTGCTGTATGGGATTGGAAAAAGAACAAGTTTTAATTTTACCCCCATGCATAGGGGCTTAGACAGTCTGCTCGGAGTGACGACGGCTAACACCTTGAAGAGCAGGGGCCCACAATAAAAGACATTCAGCCAATCCCAAAACTTGTCGCTTGATAAATTTCCATGAACTTTTGCACCAGCATCGGGGAAAATGCCTTCGCCATCAGGAAACCCGCGGTCAGAGTGACAATGCATCCTACATTCCCGAAAATTAACAGTCGCTTTTGATCTGATATGTATCGCGATAATTTCCTGCATATCGCATCACGCACAAGACGCCACCAGGCGCTGCGTGGACGTCCCCGTCGCCAATTTGCTACAGTAGGGAACTCCAAGTTTGTCTCAGCTAAGCCCAACAAATGCTTGACTCTCGTCAGCGGTACTAATTTTTCTACTAGGCCTTTTGATGTCATCGTCATTGGCGGTGGCCACGCTGGTGCTGAAGCTTGTGCCGCAGCTGCAAGAACAGGGGCGAAAACTGCATTGGTCACTCCAAAAATCGATAACTTTGGGACTTGTTCGTGTAATCCGAGCTTTGGGGGCATCGGAAAGGGAACGATAATACGGGAAATTGATGCCCTTGATGGTCTAGCTGGAAGAATTATCGACAAAGCCGGTGTCCAGTTTCACATGTTGAATCGTAGCAAGGGACCAGCGGTGTGGGTATGTGAAGCCCAATATACAACCTTGTCGAGAATCGAGTACATGGACTAACTCATCATTTATAACAGGGACCTCGTGCTCAAATCGATCGAAAATTATACAAGCAATACATGAGAGAGGAACTACAGTCCTATCCGAATCTCTCAATCGTTCTCGCCAGTGTTTCTGATATTATTTTGTCAAAGCTTGACCCTCCACAAGCAGAAGCAGCCTCCAAATGCGTCGCAGGGGTCCGACTAGACTCTGGTCAAGTTTTGCCCTCAAGCAAGGTCATTATTACCACTGGCACTTTCTTGGGCGGCGAAATACACATCGGTCTCCAGAGCTACCCGGCAGGGCGACTGGGTGAAGCAGCTACCTTCGGATTAAGTAAATCGCTTCGGACCGCAGGCTTCCAGCTCGGAAGACTCAAGACCGGTACACCCCCGCGGCTGGATCAAAAGACTATTGATTTTAAGGGGCTGGAGGTTCAATATGGAGACGCGCCGCCCACGCCGTTCTCCTTTTTGAATAATGCTGTGTCCGTCGCGGATCAGCTAACCTGTAGCATTACACACACTACCGACGCAACCCACCGAATTGTGCGTGAAAACCTCCAAAACACCGTTCACATTCGAGAGACAATTAAGGGCCCAAGGTACTGCCCATCCTTGGAGTCCAAGGTTCTTCGATTTCCAGACAAGGAGCGACACATAGTATGGCTTGAGCCAGAAGGCTTTGAGAGTCAAATTGTATATCCTAATGGGTTGTCAATGACCATACCACCTGAGGCTCAGAAGCAGGCACTGCGAACTATCAAAGGCCTCGAGCGGGTAGAAATGCTGCAGCCGGGCTACGGCGTTGAATACGACTACATCGATCCTCGCGGGCTCAAATCCACGCTCGAGACTCGAGCTCTCCACGGTCTATACCTCGCGGGGCAGATCAACGGTACCACTGGCTACGAAGAGGCCGCTGGGCAGGGTGTTATAGCAGGTATTAACGCAGGGCGAGTTGCTCAGGGATTGTCCGAAGTGTCAATATCCAGGTCTGATGGTTACATTGGAATTATGATAGATGACCTCATTACGAAAGGCGTGACGGAGCCCTACAGGATGTTTACATCTAGGAGCGAATTTCGCATGGCGGCAAGAGCTGATAATGCAGATCTCCGGCTTACCGAGAAAGGTCGGGACTGGGGCGTAGTCTCTGATTCCCGCTGGAGAGCATTTTCGGACGAGCGTCAGCAGATTGACGATCTTACAAAGATACTGAACTCAGTGTCTCTCACATCCACACAATGGTCGGAACAAGGTTTTCATCTCAAGAAGAACTCGTCGCGCCGGACAGGCATTGATATTCTTCGACTATCAAATACCGGAAATAAAATTGATCTTCAGCAGCTGAGCACCTCCATTCCGGAAATTGAATCATACCCGACTCGAGTTAGAGACCGTGTTGCTATTGAAGCCGTGTATGCACCATATATCAGAATGCAGGCTGCTGAACGGGGTCGGTTTGCCTATGACGAGAGCGTTCGCCTGCCCTTAGACATCAATTACGACGTCATACCCGGTCTAGCCTTATCCGAAAAGGAAGTACTGAAAGCTGCGTGTCCAGAAACCCTAGCACAAGCACGTAGAGTCGAAGGCGTTACTCCCGCAGGTACTGTCAGGCTTTTGGCACACATACGCCAGCGCTTTCTTTCTGATGAGCCACGAGTGAACTAGACCATGGCTCAGAGTAAGCTGTTCTCAGTGTCTTGGGAGAATGTACCATATCTGAAGTACTCCATAAAATGCACGATGGTGCGGTAATATATCTTGAATAATTATGTGCGTAAATATGATGGCGCACACTGGACAAGTTTATACTATATACACTCTTAATTTGAATGGTTTTCCCAAACTCAGCCCAGGGTCTGTAAGTGTTGATACAGGATGATACATGGACGGATCTAGAAATACCATCACAGCGACGTACTAAGCTTGAATGTGCTACATTCCGCCCTTGGGAGGGGGGAACTTCCTCAAGGGCCCCTTGGGCCGAATAGCAAGTGTGCTCTCACCATCTTGGTCCTCTATTTCAGGATCTTTACAGCATCCTTGCTGAATACATAGCTGGCGCCGCTCCAGACAGTGGTGGCCGCTACGACATATCTAATGTCTCATCAGCGTAACCGACAAACTGGATAGTTGAGCGAAGAGCGTTATCAGTAAGACTTACTGCAAAGTCGTCAACGCTGATGTCAGATCAGTGTCGACGAGTGGGGCTGCTGTTGTGAGGCCAACGAGAGCCAGCTGTAAGAATGTGTTGTATTTGCTTATTGTTGTGGGACGAACTTCTGCGGATGGGAGAGAGAAATCCCAATATCGATAGAAAGTCTTGGGCGGTGGTAGCGAAATCCAGCGGTAATATATAGCAGCCATCCCAAGTCCTACATCTCTCCCTAAAATGACTGTCGCGACCCATACTAAAGCACCAAACACAGAAATTGTCAGCACGGAAGGGACTGGGATTTGGGGATGGGGATCAGGCAAAGCAGTTGGCTCCAAAATATTTCCAGATATTGGGCCATTTCGCCCTGTAGGGCACATACACGGCAGAGCGCCTTTGGCGGCTAAACATATAGTGAGGATCGTCATAAGAGCCTTGTCCGCCATGGGATCTATTACGGTTCCAACCACCGTCTTGCGATTCCATTTGCGAGCAATCCAGCCATCGAGCAGGTCCGTAATCCCAGCATACGCAAACAGTCCCACAGCCCACGCATGAGAGTCATGGAGAACTAAATATCCTACAACGGGGGCTGCTATAAGTCTTGTAATCGTTAGGACATTCGGTACTGTATATATATCCTCGTGAATAACCTCGTTCGTCCCTGAAGGCGTGTGGACAGCTGGATTTCCCGCTTTCTCCGACGTCGATTTCGCTTTAGGATGGTCGGCTTTCTGGGTTTGACCAGAGCGGGAACTATGACTCTTTCTATCAGTTTCTGATCCTATTCAACTTGCGTCATGTCTGACGCGTTGGGCGTTGACTGGGAAATCCTAAGGAGCTGCTCACCAGTAATATCGGACTTGATTTTGGCTCTCCGTGGGTTTGACGATTATGCAGGTGCGGAGAATGGGCAATGCCGGTGATGATCGGGGCAAAATTGCTGGCGAGCGTGTGCTGATTGCCCCAAACGCAATGCGTGAAGGCCCTTTGCAGCGCGCCCGGCTCGTTGCTCGAGAGAGAAATGGGACCACAAGCATCTTGTTTCACTCAGTCAGCGCCATTCGGCAGCGAGCTTGACTGTGGTCCCAATAAACCTAATATCTGGTGTCAAGCTCAGTGACGAATTGAACTTGTTGGTTTCTATGCTGTTTCGACTATCCGGTGTCAGATTACAGCGCGACGATAAATTAATGATTTTCAGTCTGGAGCTGAGTTCCCGACAGGAGCGGGTCCCCTCAATGCGGCGTCTACCTAATCAACTGCCTACCCTACAAGATAGCCTCCTTCCAGGCTATAATGCGTTTTGACTACTGGACTATGTTTTTCTGGATTGTTCCGCTCGTACACATGCTATCAAATAGTAGCCATCTCTCGGTCCTTCTGTATTTAGTGCTCTTATTTAGTGATAAGTCACAGAGGACCTCCCTCGCGGGACTATCATCTAATAATTCTTATAGCAAGGTCTATTCAAACATGGTACCCACCCAACCATGACGTGCAGCAGAGTATAACCCCAAGCGCCGTGACAACAATCAACGACCGATCGATATAAACATGGGTTGAAAACCTGTATTGGCAACCGGTCCCTTTTCCCCCCTTTTGCCCAAAACACCACTGAATAATAGAGACAGCCAACCCAAATAAACCTCTTCCGCGTACATGAAAAGAAAAAAAAAGGGAAAGAAAGAAAGGAGAAGGAACAAAAACAGCGAGCGACACAAGTGCAGAACCTTGCCACATCTTTACACACGCCACCAGGCAGTGAAACAAAAGCTAGACCGGAAGAAGCGTCTTGCTCCGCCACCAAAGCCATTGCTAAATATTTCTAGGACGGCCCCTAGCTATAGAAGCATACACGAAACTAGGAAAATGAAGGTGAAGAAGAGAAGAACGACAAGATACCAGGCGTAGCTGCAGCATGAAGACAGCCGAGGCCCATCAAGCATCTAAAAAGAAACAAAGAATAGAAAAAGTAAGAGCATCTGCCTGCAGTAAGAACATATATCGTGTGACAATGCTAGGCATACAAGCCAATGACGTCGGTAGCGAAATGCTGCGTAGAGTATGCATTAAGAATCACCTAGGAGCGCCCTAAACCATTGGAACCTCCAGGCCACTGCTCGGAACCATTACTTGCGCTATTTCCGAAATACTGTAGATCGCCTTGACCGTCGGACTGTCCAAGGGCCCAATCAGTCGGATTCTGATCCAAGTTGTAGTTCTGGGTCCCAGCTTCCGCGCCAGTCAAAGTATTAGGATCCTGCTTCGTCGGCCGTGGCTGGTTGAAAGCCTGTCCCTCTTGGCCTGCCATTTGGCCACCTCGCTGGGGAACATAGTACGAACCCTGTCCAACATATGTATTGCCGCTCTGGGGAGGTCTGCCTCCGGGAACTGTGCCAAGATGCATCGACGACAGCTCTGCAGGCTGTGTAAGTTCGAATGCCGAATTCCGTCTTGGCGGATCGTGTAGTGGCATACTTCGCGGGAAATCGTTATCCATGCCAGTGCTGGCGCTGAAACGGGAGGCTCTGGTAGGGCCCAAGGAATAATTACCATGTGGCTGAGGAGTGTATGGCATTGAAGGTGTGCTGGACGGCATGGCTGGAGAGATGGACGGCGGAATCGACTGCGGAGCTGAAGAACCCAAGGAGGGCTGAATCGAAGAAGGAAGCGGCTGTGGCATCTGAACTGGCATGGGCGAATTCATCGTCGCCAGGTACTGGTGTTGTGGATGGTATGTGTAGGGAATAGACCCGTACGCTGCTGGTACCGGGGCATGAAAGCCCGCGATGGACATGGCTCTAGGCATATGAGTATGTGAACCACCAGAAAAAGCCGGTGCATTTACAACTGTCGCAATGAGACCCGAGGGGCCACCACCTTCGTCGTCCGGGCTATACTGTACTTCGTCAATGGGAGCACGGAAATTTTGGGACACTAGGAGTTCGTTTCGAGGCGAGATGCCACTAAAACCGTAGCTCCTTGACGGGGTATTGAGATTTCCAGCAACCGCGTCGTCAACCTTGTAGTAGCTCACAAGGTGATGAGGAACGCCGTTGTAGCTTACGCTGATGGTCTTCTTGACCAATCCGCCGGGCTTGAAAGGGTAAGAATCAACCAGTGATCCAATCAATGCCCTCTCGGTACCCTTGATATTGACGCCGTCCATGGCAGCAGGTGAAGTGAAACCAGACATGTTTAGGTGTGAGGTAGAGTCCGCCTTTCCGATACCTCCTGGAGGACACTTCTTTCTTTTAAGGGCTCGTTTCTTTTCTCCTGGCGGAAACGGCTTCTCCAACTCACGGTATATGAGAAAGTTGCCTAGAATGCGACTGGGACTCCAAGATACACCGTCGGTCCATCGTTTGATACCTGAAGCGTGCTCTTCGTAAATGAAGACGTTGCCACTTTTGATTAGGTCCTGGCGCTCTCGATCGTGAGGGCGACGTGGTACGTGGGTGAGTCGGCCAGACAAGCAGGCCTCGAACAAAACAAGTGAGTCATATGTAGAGGCGACAAGTCCCTCAAAGGTAGGACGAAGAGGGTTGGATTGATTTGACATGGTTCTGCGAAGCTTTGCACCGGCCAAGATTTAACTTTCGGAGAAGACGGTGATAACCTTCTTTCCTGGAGATTGACGTTCAGCTCCCGTGCAATCCAGAAGTTTGGATGCTCTGAGGAGCCCCTGCGGTAACGAATACCAAAACAAAACGGTATGGATACTGGTGATCTCTGGTGTTCAGTCAAATGATATGGTTTCGCTTCCGGCTCGACTGGGGGAGATCCTTCCTCGGGGGGGAAAAGGGTGGGGAGACGAAGAGAGAGTAGAGAGAGAAAGAGTACGCAGAGTAAGAAGGCGGATTAAGAGGCAGAGTTTGTGAATGTAACGGCACTGGAGGAATTAAAGGGAACAGAAGCTTTGACCGGAGAAAATAAGTTGGGGAAGAAAGTTGCAGGGCAGGAGGGAGCCGAAGATGTCAAAGGAGCAGAGCCGAGAAATGAATTAAGGGCCACAAGTCCAGTCCGCAGAAAAGACGAAGAGAGGCTGCAGAAAGAATCGAAGTTGGAAGAGGAAGTCAAGCTCGAGCAAAAGTCTCGGGAACAGCTGTGGCTTGAAGCGGCGTGGGAGGAGGTGTTGTTAAGTTTGGAGGGACCTGGTGGACGCAGTGGAGGGCGGCAGACTGACTCTCGAGGTGCGTGCCGTGACAGTGCGCCGTCGTGGTGCCAAGTTCTCTAGCCAGTTCTCAAGATGCCCAATGCCAATGGCACACAGCACTTGAGAGTTCTGAGTTCGACCAGACCCCGATGGGAACCAAGCAGGAGGCGCCAAAGATGCGGGAAGACGGAGGTTGGCGGGTGATTGTCTGGCCTCGGGGGACTGGGCCGGGGGGTGGAGGGACAGCTTGACGAACGAACAAGGACAGAAATGGATGGATACAGACAGGGCGCTGGCCTGAAGGGGATAGGATCCAGTATTAAGTTTTATCGAGGCGTAGGGCTGCTTTGCGATTCGACGATGCGGCATCAAAAGTTGACACAGCAAAACGCGACGTACACACTTCTGTGACTACACTCGAGGTACGATGGAGTGCTACCAGAGTAACTCGAGGCACACTGTGATCTTGTGGCTTGACGAATTTCTCCGCAGCATTGCCTGTATGGGGGTGACGAGATGGTGTCGATGAGCAATCAATGTTCAGTGGCGGTCTTTATGGTTGGTGAATTAAATCGGTCTGGCTGGCGGTTCGACTAGAGTTAAAAAGCTTGGAGTATTTGCAAGGAAGCCAATGAGACGCATGTGGATGGATGAGCGGATAGCCAAATGGCCTGATAGCTGAACTAGCGAACTCCCGGGTCAATCGTGCATCTTCCAAAGCTGGAGTTCTTGAAGTATTGAGAACCTTTGGAGGGTCAGTCTGGTGGTGGTGTAAGTCGGCAAGATCGGCCAGGACACTCGAGCTGCGTGCAACAAAAAAGTACACACACACGCACACACATCCATACATGCAAATCTACCTAGACCTGAGGTAGTTCGGTAGCAACTAGACATACATACACGCACGCACGCACGCGCGCACGCGCGCAAGACCATGCGCAATCCATATTCATTTAAATGGTTACTTTTACCTTTATTTTAATTTATTTTGGGATACCCGGCCACTCGACCGTCCCTGAGAAGGGAGAATGTAGGTTAGTTGCTCAAGTAAATACTAGATACCTAGATGCAAAGTAGGTGCGTACTTCCAAGGTTGCCAACATGCCGTCGACGTCGAACTCGCTCGAGCGTCGAAGAGCGAAAGCGCCAGGGCCTTCCTGGGTGGTTGTCACTTCTGACTGGAGCAGACCTCGTAACCTGGAGAGCTACCAGGCGCCGCTACAGTCCCGGTAGTACTTAGCCGTACTGGCCATGTACCATGAGTGCCGGAAAGGGCGTAGTAGCTTGCGCCGTCGGAGCGGGTGTGAATATAGTAAGCTACCAGACCCATCCAGTTTCTCCATGGCCCCAGTGTGATATTGTCGGGTCGGGCTGTTGTTTACCATTACGCACCGCAATGCAAACACAGTCTACAGCAACAAGAAGAGATGCGGAGAGGGCTAAGCCATAAGACCTTGCAAGATTCGCAAATCTTGGGCAAGAATTACATTACATTTCTAATTGCATCGTCGCGGAATGAGTGCTACAAGGCTACCAATGCCTCGACGCCCCCGTAGGAACCTCATAGGTAGGTATCTACCTAGGTAAGTACCAGTCTTGTTGTCCCATGGGTGACGACATACATACGGAGTACACTACTGTAAAAGCAATTCGAACTGTAATGCTGTCAGCGGCATATACTACCTGCTAGGTAGGTAGACAAGGGGGGAAGTTGTGGTGAGCAAGGTGCGAGCCTATTAATAATGTGGTACGTAGACAGCCCGAGATCCGGTTGAGCATCTTGTGACTATGCCGAAGCATCTTCGGGCAAACAATAGCCGAAGGTTGATACGGCATTTGGAATTGGCTGAATAGGAGTTATTTGAACCAAGTTGCAGAAGG